CGAGTCCGATGTTGACGCTATAAAAAGGCGACAGTTCGACACGCCGGATATACGTCACTCATCTAAGTTCGACTTGGGAATTTTTTTGTTCAATAATAAATGTGAATTCTTCTTCCTGGAAAAAATAAGACATTCCCTGAAAATAAGACCTAGTGCATTTTTCAGAGCAAAAATTAATATAAGACACTGTCTTATTTTCGGGGAAACACGGTACATATGGATATTTCATAGTGTTAAAACATTATGAAAATTTCTGAGCCTTAAGAAATCCAACATGTATGTATCTGCTGGCAAGTGTGCACACATTTCTGTATATAATTTTGTCAAATATCTGGTCTATTCATCTATAACAGAAGTTATAGATGAATAGACCAGATATTCGACAAAATATATTATATTATATATATATATGTATACAGGGTGTATCAGAATGACATTTTAAAAATTTGGGGGATTGTAGAGGATGAAATTTTGAACATTTTGATATAAGGAACCTATAGCCAGAAATTTGAACTAAAGTGTCTACAGTGGTAGGAAGTGCTTGACCGCCCTTCACTTTGGTAGCTACCCTTATGTTCATTGACATCATGTTATTGCTGCAGATGGAAAACTGTAAACACACAACTACAGTGGTCTAACTGAGCCTGTGTATTTAGTGCTTATCATCCTTTAGGTCACCCCTTGCATCCACTGGCACTGTGCTGTAAACATACAGTCAATGTGAGTCGAAGTTAGTGGTCATCACATTGAACATTTACTCTAAAGTAGTGTAGCCACTGATTCGATGTACAGTTTGATTCTACTGTTTTGTCAATAAAACTTGTCATAAATACTGTATTCTACTGTTTCATTCAGCATACTGACCGCATAGAACGTACAAAGTGTTAGAGAACTTTATATCACATTTCCGGCTATAGGTTTCTGATATCAAAACGTTCAAAATTTCATCCTCTACAATCTCCCAAATTTTTAAAATGTCATTCTGATACATCCTGTATATGGGGGGTTAGATGAGTAAAATTCCTAAACTGTCTAGAAAATAAACAAGGGATTGCAGAGGAGACGAGGGAGAATGGGAAGGGAGATGACAGATGGAGACGGCACGAAGAGGACTAAAGACAGTTACAGATGCTAAAACATTATCATTCTATCCATAATTTGAAGACGGTTATGAATGCTGGCATATTATTGTTATTTCTATCACTATTCTTACATATATAATATAATAAATGTTTATATATCTTGGCAATATTTTGTACTGATCTAGTCAGTCTAAAAGTACCTTCCCTCTGCACAGATACATTTGCTCCAGTGGTGTTCCCAATCCTTGAAAGTTTATTTATTGTTTATCAATAAAAATCATAGTATGTCCTAGTAGAAACTTAATCATTCTCTTTAACATTAAAATTATTTGTCCTTGAATTATATATATATGAACATATGCATTGTATATATTATTATTGAAGTGCAATTACCATTTTGACTTGTATTCTTTTATTTTTTTTATTTTGTATGAATGTATTTATTGTGACTTACTAAGATACTATAGTCACATTTAAACTAAATTTAAATTTTTTATATTTCAAAAAACTTCTTTACTCAACTGGATAAACATGAATTACTGCACAACAAAAACCTTCATTTTAACTCTGGTTAATTAAGATCAAAAACACTTGTCAAGTTTATAAATTTAAAATAAATTATTTACTGTAATTATTAAGGTTTTATGTTGTGTAGTGAATTTTTAAAATTATTTTTAGTGGTGCTATTAATTTTACATTAATAAAATAACTTTTATAAATGTATATCTTGATTAATATATTATTGTAATTTAAAATATTTTATTTAAAATTTTAAATAAAAGATAAATCTGTTTAGTAATGACTCATGCATCAGACTGAAATAAACTAAATTCTATTAGATTATTTTAAAAATTTATCATTAAATGATAATTTTGAATGTTACTTTTATTAGTTTATGAAATTATTGAACTATTATATAAAGTTTTTTGACAAGAATATTATCAAGTTAAAAAATATGAGTTAGTTTTAATAAAATTTTCTTAAAGTGAGATTTATGTTTTAGATTTAATTTATTTTGGAATGAATCTCTAGCATATTTATACTTGATGTGAATTACATTGATAAATTATGAATTTCAAAAATGATTTTTATTAACTTATAATTATATCTTCAATTATTATTTTTGTTTCTTAGGTACTATGAAACTTCATCATTTAAAACAGTCCTCATGAATAACATCTAGATCACTAGAAAAAATTTATTTGACTTCCCCTTTTAATTCTGAAATGGAAGTAAATCAAAGAGAAGAGGATGGGAATTACAAAATTACAGAGAGTATTTCACCTTACAAACAAAACAATCTACCTCATAACACATTCCCACTTTTGGAAAGTCAGGAATTATTTGATGAAGCAAATATTAATGAATTCCAAAATAAAAGTACATCTTCCTGTGAAACAGGGTATCTAAACGAACCAAGAGCAAAAAAGAGACGCAAACAGAGCAATCCACTGAGGTATCAGACAACTCTGTTGTCAAATTTTGATGATGATCAGGAAGATTATTTGGTTAACAATAATTCCGAAGATACTGTAACATTAGAAGAAAAATGTAGTGAGAAAGAGCAGTTAGATCATGTGGGTAATTTTCAGTGTCAGCATTGTTTAAGAACATTTTCGACATCAGATATTCTCAGAGTTCATCTTGAAGAAGAACATGTTTCGAAGTTATTGGAAAAACAACTACATAAACAAGCTTTCAATAAATCTGCTTCAATAAATGAACAAGAAAATAATTTTGATCTTGCAAAGGATAATTCTTCTCCTAATGATTGTCCACTACAGTTTTCTAATGAAAAGTGGTTATATGGTAATATTTCTAACAATAATTCTCAGGAAGATAAAAGCACTCCATTTTCATTACCAAATATTCCACCTCTTGTTGCTGTATCTGAAGGAGTAGAAAATCAGTCAAGAAATATCTCACTGCCTTTACCCATGTTTCATAATTCTATGACACCATTATTTTTTCCTGTTTCACCTCACGCCCAAAATTCATCTTTAGCAAATGGAAATTCCAATACAAGCACAGGTCTTCGAATATTTAATCCAGAAGCTTATTGTGAACTGTGTAATAAAGAATTTTGTAACAAATATTTTTTAAAAACTCATAAAGCGAATAAACATGGCATTTATTCTTTGGATTCCATAACCAGTTCATCCTGCTCAAGAGCTTTCAATACTAATGGATCTAAAAATTTGCCTATATCTCAGTTTCTACCAACAGAATTTCCTTCAACAGTACATACTACAAATATGACTGCTGGTTTGACAACCAATTTAACTGCCAACTTGACTTCTAATATTACTACCAGTTTAACATCTAATATTACTACCAGTTTGGCACCTAATATCTCAACAACTTTAACTTCTAATATTCCAACAAGCCTGACTCCTAATATTCCAACAAGCCTGACTCCTAATATTCCAACAAGCCTGACTCCTAATATTCCAACAAGCCNCTCCAGATTTTATATATAGCTTATTTTCTTAAATTATATATTCATTGTAAAAATAATATGATAAATTATGTTTATGTTAACATTCATAAAAACAAAATTCAAAGTATTATTTGTAAATGTATTATGCAATATTACCATCTAAACTTATTTGAGCTCTATGTACTCCTTTGGCAAGATAAAGAAAACATATTTTTTTAGTGTAGTAATGTATAATATATGCAAAGTCAACTAGTCACTGTAATTAATCTAATGAAGTAAGTGTAGGGAGCCCGTTCTTAATTAATCAGCAGATTCTGCCCCATCGGTTCGTCTCACCAATTAACCAGACCAATATTTTCACAAAAAAACTTTATTTCACTCTCAGGGACTGCTACTTCACACTCCCTCTCCCTCTTGTGTCCCAAATTTCTCTCTCAAAAATTTCTTCTTCCTGCGTTTTCTTCCCCGGTCTTAACGGCTCCTCGTTAGCGTGTGTCGATGGATGGATCGCATCTGCCCCAATGATACCCCCCTCAGAGAGGGAGGATGAGAAGGTCTGATATCACTACACACTCCGACAAGACCGCAGAGAGGGAGGGCGAGAGGGTCCGATATCACCACACCCCCGCCGCAAGACAAGTGTTAGGGTGTTAACCCGAACACAGGTCTGAACTACAATTTTCAAAAAATAAAGGTTACAATAAATCTTAGCTTCTCAAGAATACAAAAAGTTCATACAGACAATACACAACATAATTTTCCTTTTACACAAATTATATTCATAGTTCTCATCACTACACATCGAAACAAATGTCACTTTTAATGTCACAAATACACTGTTGAACTGGAAGTATCGTGAATTCCTCCAAAATGGGTCCACTGCTGCCTATGTCGTCAACACATTACAAAAGTTCTCAGTTACCCCACCAGTCGTTGGCGGGACCGTAACTTCCACCATAGTCTCCTTTATATTGAACATCATAGTTGTTTCTTCTGTAACCAACAGCGGAAGATGAGTATTTATTTGACACTGCGATGTAATCTGTGTTGCCTCGATCACAGCCGAACGGACAATAATCACGAGATCGGAGGCCGCTGGAGCCGTACCTCCTACTTCGACCCTCTAAATATTTACTTCAATTATTGGTCTTTTGTTCATCTTGCCTGTTCTGATTGTCATCATACTTTGAACATCTACTACCCTTTCGACGATTCCAGACACTTTTACTTCCGTGAATGCCGTTGCACCAGCGGTTCCTTGGAGCATCTTTTGGAGCATGGGGACCTCGCCAGTTATGATCATATTCACTGTCTGTCATGTATGACGTGTAGCTATCAGCGCAAACTTTTAGATTTCTTTTTCTAACATTAGAGAGATCTGCTTCTCCTCGCTTATGACTGCTTTCCCAATTGTTTACATTTCCAGAATCTTCGTGGTCACTGTATTTCCGACTACTAGAATCTTTTGAGCTCGGATAGCTTCTATTATGACTATCGGTCCTCTCAAACAATACTTTATTGTGAAGATCTGTATATCGATCACTTGTATCTGAGTGCCGGTTTTGGTCCCAATCAGTTGGTTCACGACTACCTGTTCCACTTACATGATTACGAAGGTGAGGAGGTCTGTACACACCAGCTTGTCCTTCCAACACTTTGAGAATACCAGACAGCACAAGACGAGGGCCCTTCAATTTCTCGGTCAGTACCACTGTGAGGGGGATAATAAAGTTTGGTTGCAATGGTCTTTAATAGCCATAGGGACCTTTACTGTCCGTGCCTTAATCTCTTCCCCAAACGCTGAGCTCAAAACTATTGTTCCCCAGTTCCCGTCATTAGAATTGGTAACATCTTCAGGGCGCAAGACTGGGACTTGGGTGCCTGAATCTATGATAGCTTCGGTATCTTGCCCACCTATGTTGACCGTAACGTATTGTAAACATTGAATACTAGGGCCTGACTTCAAATGGCTGCTCATTTTTTCCTCAAAGTGTTCTGACCTCACACTCTCCAATATCGTGACATCATTCTGTCTCCGACCGGTCGAGGGTTGAGTGTGACTATCGTTTATGGGTGTATCCCTTTTCTTCTGCAGGCAGGATCTAGAAATATGTTGCGTTGATCCACAGATGAAGCACCCCCTCAATTTTATTTCCTGACGATAGTTGAGTGTGTCTTTCTGTCCCTCATCCCTCAGTGGTGGGGGACTGTACTCCTGGCCAGTACCCTGGCACTCTGGAAGATGCTGCGACCCTTGCAACTCATTGTACGTCTCAGTTAGAGATTTTCTCTTGCTTTCGAAATATAGGTTGCACTCTCTCGCCATGTTGATAGGGTTAAACCACCCCTCACCCTGACGAATGCTTATATGGGCTGCCGTATCGGCATCCAATGTCTGAAATAATCTGTCCGACACGGTTAATAGTTTTAAAGTGCCCAAGTCCTTCATTCTCCTCAACTTGCAATAGTATTCCCAAGACGATGCTATTCTCGACATAAATTGCATGTGAGTCTCGTTGGGCCTACATCTAGCACTTCGAAAATTTTCTAGGCAGCATTGGGCAGACAGTTCGTATTCTCATAACACTAATTTCTTCACGCTTGAGTAATCCTTTAACTTGTCTCCGGTTATATAAATCAAAATGTTTGAGGCCTTTTCTCCCAGAATATCGATCATTATCTCCGCTTTCATCTCTTCCGGCACATTCTTTGATTGGAATGCTCACTCTATAGATATGAAAAATAGGTTCCAATTTTCGGACTTAGTTGGGACTGGCAGTGTTAACATTTTGATGCTCGTAATCAATTTCTTAATACTCTCAGCGGGCCCATCACCCAGATGGCTGTCCGTAAGGCTAGGACTACTGTTACTCGCCCTGCTTTGAATAGTAGTGTTAATCTGCGCAAGCTCTAACTCGTGCTGGCATTCCCTTTCTAACCTCTCTTGTTCCTCCTTCCATTTTCTTTCTGCAACAGTAGAGGTTAAAATCTCCAGCACAAAATCTGGGTCACTAGCAAAATCGTCACTTTTTGTAATAAGTTCCCTTAACTCCGATACCTTCAGATTGTCGTCTATTGTGCCACAAAGCTCTTCCGCCATGATCCGTAGATCTTCCTTCTTAAGTCCCTTTACACTTAGCATTCCGCTGTGAATTTCATTTCCGACAAGTACAAAATTTTCCTACCTCTTCTCTGGTGTAAACCTTGTATATTACTCAAACCTTTGTGCTGTGCCCAATTACCCACTCAGCTTGGTTTTGATCCACTCTTCTTATTCTGGCTCATAATCACTCTCTTCACAGATTGAATCTTGTCGATCTTACTTCACTATCCTATTGGCTGCGCCAATGTAGGGAACCCGTTCTTAATCAGCAGATTCCGCCCCATCAGTTCATCTCACCAATTAACCAGTCCAATATTTCCACAAAAAAAAAACTTTATTTCACTCTCAGGGACCGCTACTTCACACTCCTTCTCCCTCTCCCTCTCATGTCCCGAATTCCTCTCTCAAAACCAGAAAATGCACCGATGCTCATCGGTGCATTTTCTGGATTTGAATATTGACTTTGGAGGACCGAACATACACACCTCCGTGTACCGCAAACCTCTCTCAAAAATTTCTTCTTCCTGCGTTTTCTTCCCCGGTCTTAATGGCCCCTCGTTAGCGTGTGTCGATGGATGGATCGCATCTGCCCCGACGAAACCCCCCAGAGAGGGAGGATGAGAAGGTCTGATATCACTACACGCTCTGACAAGACTGCCAGAGGGAGGGCAAGAGGGTCCAATATCACCACAGTAAGCAATATACTTTAACAGTGGATAAGGTTGGAAAAAAGAAATGTTTTCAGCTAGTTAGTGGGCCATTTTCAGCCATATACAGATAAAAGTGAAATAGGGCATTTTACTTTTCTCTGACTCCACCTGAAGATGGCCCATTAACTCAGTGTTTAACCTTTAACCTTTATTGTTTCTCCAACCTTACTCACTATTAAAAGTGTGATCTTTACTTTATTAGTAATTCAGAAAAAGCTGCATTTATTCTTTACAAATTTCAAATTGAAAAAGTCATTTTTAAAATAATATAAATAGAATAATAGGCAGTGGCGTGCCATCCATGTGGAAGCTGTGGAAGCACAGCTTCTCTTGTATTTTCTAAAATATAAATAGATATAGTGTGATTATTTTCATATTTTAACATATTTTGAATATTACTTAAAATTAATATTTTATTATAACCACATTATGTATCTTATTACAAATTTCTATACTACATGTGAAAAACAATGATAAAATTGCTATTGTATATTCGAATATAAATTTGTATATACATATTCCCAATGGAAGCACTGTATTGTTGAATATGGGACAGCTTCCATGGCAAAAATATTTGAATGGTGTAAAGCAGCCAGATTATACACATTTGTGCATGCACTTTACAAAGCACCAACCTCATATGGTTTAGTTCCTGGATGCCACACACCAAAATATTGTATAATGCTTCCAATGACTGTATCCAGGGCCGTCACAGCTTCCCTATCATCAAATGTTACCTCACGCCACTGATAATAGGGATTGTGAAGAATGTTTTAGTGGAAAATTTTATTTGTTTTTCAAGGTTTCAAGTAAAATTGTTTTAAATATTTTTTATAATTATATTTCAAAGGAGTTGTAAATAAAAACTAATTTATATGTCTTTGTTTTTAGTTTTTCATATTTAACAATTAAAATATTGATTAAAACTGCAGATCTAAATACTTAATAATTTATGGTATATTAAAAAATATAGGTTATTTTAAGACTAGGAAGATCAAAAAATTGTCAGAAGAAACCAGAATGCTCAGGAAAATTTTTTGAGATTGAATAGACACATTAAAATTTTATAAATTTATATTTATATTGCTAGCAGGTTGCATATGTAATCATTTGCATTAAACTTTATTTAAAGATGTTATTACTAAATTTTATTCTTTCAAATATATTTTGAAGTTTGAATCTTTACTGTATTAGAATTTAATGTTCCTATCTCAAAAGAATAAAAATTTGTGTTTATTTTATTAAAAGCTTCAGTAAGGCAGATGCTTTGTTCATACCGTGTTTCCCCAAAAATAAGACATCCGCAGAAAATAAGACCTAGCACAGATTTTGCTGAATTGCGAAATATAAGACCTCCCCCTGAAAGTAAGACCTAGCGAAGTTTTTTTTTAGTCGTAACGGTCATCGACAGATGGTTGAAAGT